AACTTACAAGTTACAAGTAAGGCTCGGAGAGCAGAGGCATCGTTGAAGTCAGGAATGATCGGGGTAATAAACAAATGCAAGTTGAGAGCAGAGGCATCGTTGAAGTCATGAATGATTTGAAGCTCCTTTATGATGTTTATTTTGTTTCTACGCTGACTCAAAATTTGTTGAGTGTTGGGCAACTCATTGATTGTGGATATGCCATTTTGTTCGACAATTCGTCATGCGTGATTAGACATAAAAATATTTGGTCAAGTGATTGTCAATATTCAGACGGCAACCAAATTATTTCCACTTGAAGTGTCAAAAGTTGATGAATGTGTACTTGGTGCCAAAGCAGCCTGCGAGTCTAAATTGTGGCATTTAAGGTATGGGCATTTAAATGTGAATGGTTTGAAATTGTTGAGTCAAAAGGATATGGTTTATGGCTTGCCTAAAATTGAATACTTGGAGTTATGTGAGGGCTGTGTTCTTGGCAAACAAGCAAAGAGATCTTTTCCGATAGGACTTTCTAGACGTGCATCTACTTGTCTTGAGCTTATACATGCAGATTTGGTAAGCCCGATGATAACAAAATCTCTCGGTGGGAGCAGATTCTTCTTGTTGCTAACCGATGATTAGAGTCGGATGAGCTGGGTTTATTTTCTACAAGCCAATTCAGAAATATTCGATATGTTCAAAAAATTCAAGGCTCTTGTGGAAAATCAATCCGGAAAATATGTAAAGGCGCTGCGTACAGACAGAGGTGGTGAGTTTGTATCTCACAAGTTTAATCAATTTTGTGATGAGCATGGCATACAAAGAGAATTAACAGCCCCATACACTCCGGAGCAAAATGGTGTCGTCGAGCGCAAAAATAGAACAGTCGTGGAGATGGCAAGAAGCTTGCTGAATTCCAAAGGACTTCCAGATATGTTTTGGACTGAGGCAGTAGCGACAGCAGTGTATTTTCTTAATTTATCTCCTACAAAGGCTGTTTTGAACCGCACACCATATGAGGCTTGGAATCGAAGGACACCGAGAGTAAGCTTGATGAAAAAATCAACAAAATGCATTTTTCTTGGCTATTGTTCACAATCCAAAGCCTATATATTGTACGATCCTATTGCGGGCAAAGTTATCATAAATAGAAATGTGGTTTTCGATGAAAAGCAAGCTGGAAGTGGGATAACAGCTCAGGGAACATTGCCGTTTGAGTTTTTGGTGAAAATGAGAGCATTGGAAGGGATATACAGCAGCTGCCTTCACCATATTCTTTAGGCTCGTCATCACCATCTTCACCTAGACTCATACCTGAAGGATCAAGAAGCAATTATGATGATGAAACTCCTCCACTCAGGTTTCGATCATTGGATGAAATATATGCAGATTCTTATTCTAAGTTTGTAGGTGATCCTATAACCATTCAAGAAGCAGTGAAGGGAGAAGAATGGCGTGCAGCGATGAAGGATGAAATAACCTCAATTCAAAAAAATAAGACTTGGGAATAGGTAGATCTTCCGGAAGGAAAAAAACCAATTGGAGTTAAATGGGTTTTTCGAACAAAATATGGAGCTGATGGAGCGACTTGTGGCCAAGGGGTATGCACAACATCAGGGAGTTGATTACGTCGACACTTTCTCTCCGGTTGCACGATTTGAGACAGTGAGAATCCTTCTTGAATTGGCTGCAAAATTAAATTGGCTGATATACCAATTTAGTGTGAAATTAGCTTTTCTAAATGGTGATTTAAAGGAGGAGGTTTATGTCACTCAGCCTGAAGGATTTATAATTGAAGGTAACGAGGAGGAGGTGTACAGGCTGCACAAAGCCTTGTACGAGTTAAAACAAGCTCCGCGTGCATGGTATGAAAAGATAGATTCCTATCTTTGTGAAAATGGATTTGAGCGAAGCAGGAATGAGCCCACATTATATGTGAAGAAGCAAGGTAAAAAATGATTTTCTCATTCTTTGACTTTATGTTGAAGCAAATGAGAAACAATTCAAAAGGTTGATTGCAGGATTTATTTATTTGGCGTGTACACGTCCACACATTGCTTTCTCAGTGGGAGTACTTTCCAGGTTTATGCATTCCCCTCCACAACATCACTTTGGTGCTGCAAAAGGAGTGTTACACTATGTTGCTGGAACAGTCCAATTTGGATTATGGTATAGCCATGCATCCGATTTCAAGTTGATCGGTTATACGGACAGCGATTGGGCACGATGTTTGGAGGACAGAAGAAGCACCTCTGGTTACGTGTTTAGTCTTGGATCTGGTTCGATATGTTGGAGTTCGAAGAAGCAAGAATCTACAGCACTTTCAACGTCTGAAGCTGAATACGCAGCAGCGACAACATCAGCCTGTCAAGCAGTTTGGCTACGTCGTATTCTTGCAGATTTTGCTCAAGTCCAATCTGAACCAACGGAGATATTTTGTGACAATAACGCAGTGATTTCCATGTCGAAGAATCCAACCTACCATGGAAGGACAAAGCAGATAGATATAGATATTCGAGTACACTTTATTCGAGATCTTGTGTCAATGAATTTAGTAACTTCAAAGTATTGCAGTACGCATGAGCAGGTGGCTGACATCATGACCAAGTCACTTACTCGAGACAAGCATATTCACTTCCGATCGAAGCTTGGTGTTTGCACTTTCGAATCAAGGGGGAGTGTTAAGATTTGATTCAAAAATAATTAGGATATATTTTATATTTATTAATTACTATATTCAGTTTTAAAAGGTGGATTTGATTAATAATTATTCCATATTTATCTTGGAATGTAATCTCAATATATTGAGATGTTTCCCCTTGAACAATATGAAGGACTTTGAAGTTTATCCAAAAAAGAAGCACTGCACGTCCTCTCCTCTCTGCTCTGTTCGTCTCCATTGTTTACAACCTAGTTTGGTGGCAATTTCTATCTTGATTCGCAACATGAACCACTGTAACATAGATTCATTTTCATATCTCTTTCTTACTCTTATATTTAATCATTAAAATTTATATTAAAATGAATGTTTTCATTTTGAAATAACAAAAATACTTCTGATTGAGTTGGTGTGGTAGGATAGTGCGATACTCCAGCCTGTAAAGCTACGCAAAGCCGGACGTATCGTAATTGTAGACTGGCCTCGTAGGTCAACACGGTCCTTCCAGCGCACTTATATGCCTTTAAATTGCTTTTAAAATCAATTATGTAGTAGCGTTTGCGTGGTAGTTTAAATATGATGTATTTGGTATCATTGTCAAGAAGTGAGAATTGTTTGAGAACTTGTCCTGTTTTTCTATTTCTGCGCCAACACAATCTTTCTAAAGATTGTAAATAGAAGCATACTACTGCTTATGTAGCCTTAGGCTATATTAGTTCTACGACTTTTGCTAATTTTGGCGAAGGGAAGCACAGTATCTCTAATGCATCAGAGTGCGTTCTATTTCAGTTCTTGTTGTGATTAGAAAATTAGTACAAAACATGCTTAATGTAATTATATTTTAAATGGGTTTTCTTTCCCTATTGTCTCCTCTCATTTTTATTTTTCAATCAGATTTTTTTGCTTATGTTTTTGTTGGTTAATCAATGTGATTCAAATCCTTCTAATTTTTCTTTCAACTACAACAGGAACTGACCATTCAACTTCTTAACTTTGTAGAAGCTGTTATACTGCATTTTCTACACAGAAAATGCTGTAGCCTATATATGTACACATTCCCCAGATTTTATCCCGCCGCAGGTAATCCTCTTACTACATCGTAATAATATAAAAGGGAAATTTATACTCCTACCTGGTAAAATCACTTTATATGATTTATGTACAACATTGTATTATATTGTTCTATACTTTTAGGCAGCGATAGCTCTATAAATATTTTTTACCGGTATCATTATATATAAACTTACAAATAAAATTAACTAATAGGTTTAATTTTATTAAAAAAACATACGAACAATTTATCTTTTTTAATTTAAATAGATATTAGTGACACTTCAAATTTTAATTAGGACACTAGAACTTTCCACTGGTAGCATATTTATTAAATTGTAAAAATTTCCCTAGTAAAATCACTCGTGACACAACTGTGATTTAAGAATACTTCCGCCGCCCTAACTTTTAGGTTATCCAAATATTTGCATGGATAGAAGTTTGTTACGTATGATTGCGGAAACTTGTCATTTCTTACACATTACACTTCTTTGTTTGACATACAATAATGAACATGCTATTTATTGTAATTGCGGATATAACTAACCCCTTTTACGTTTACCAATAAAATGGGATTCAATTAATTGAAAGTAGCTTAATTTTAGAAAATATTAACGGAAATAACGTCGGTATCCAAACTAAATTAACTACTCTATGTTTGATTCAATAAAGTCAAAATAAACTTTAAATATCTATTATTAAACCTTGATAAATTATTTTTGTCTAATTTTGGCGTATATATGTATATTCAAAATGTCAGTGTAATGTGTTCTTATAAGGTTCCCTTATGTACCAACAACACTTAGATTTGGATATATATATATATTATGTCTCTTATATCTAATTTCTAGAGCTCAGAATTGTTTTAGGGATAGTTAAGGTCCTAATTGACTCTACTTATCACATAGTAAATGTATACATAAGATATGGCTAGAATTAATGCTATTATCATGCGTCGCCAGTCAATGCTATGTATAGTGCTACGTGTGATATATGATAAGATCAATGATGGCATGCATTGTCAGTATTGATACTATGTCAACATGTATTTTTGTGTTACAAGCAATTAGAGCACGTGCTTTGGGTCTTTTTATTATATAATAATTAGGATTAATTCTAATTAGCACAGTAAGTGCTGCTGTTTTAAATGTGTCAAGATGAACTAATGAACCTTTAAGGTGGTCCTAAGAAGTACCATATTCTCTCACTTTTCTTGGACAGGTGGGTTTCTGCAAGTTGATCTACTAGATAAACTGATGCTGAAAATATTTTCTATCAGATGCTGTATATATAAAATGTTGGAAGAGAGTTGCAGTCTCCAATATTCGACAAGTCTTGTGCATGTATACTTACTTTATGATACAAACATATTCTGTCACAGCCACTCGGTCTATTAATGATCACTCCAGCCTGAATTAAACTGCTAAAGTATGCTGTCTTAAGCCCTCCGCAAAGATCTTACATGAGGTAAATGTTGTTTAGCTACCATTGCCGAAATATATTCCAGTTCCTACCAGGTGGTCACGGAAATATATATGATTGAATAATATACTGCTATGCAGCTTATTTGCTTACTTCCTGTTAACATCCGATCTTGTCTTACAGATTTTGGCGACGAGGTTGGCATGGCCTGCTCATCCTAGCTCATGGAATACCAAGACCTCTAATACTAAATACGATGTCGCATTAGAAGTAGTTGAGTTCAGATTTATTACCGCTCCGTATATATGCTTACATTCTTGATTCAAATTGAGATGTCAAATGTTAAGTTTTGCTCAGCACTACACTAATGGATCCCTGAATCCTCTACCATTGGTGACAAAGATCAAACTGGTTGTTTGTATTCCTACTAATGAAAATATGCGTAGATGGTTGAAGATTTCTTCTGAAGAATGAACATCAACAGGGCAGTATTAAATATATATAATTCCCCAAGAAACTTTGTAGTTTTCATTGAATCCCTAGTTAATCTTCGCAGCCAATGTAGAATGATGTCTGCGTTTTGCTAGCTCGCTCCACCGTCTTGCTTTAATAGCGTACCAAGACAAGACAAGACAAGGCATTAGTAATATATATATACATATATATTCATATGTATGGAATTATACAACTATAATTTGGGCCTGTATTATTATTTTCATCCTCTATAAAAATAACCTAAAGACAAGAAGATAAAAAATAGTGAATTGGGATTTTTTTTTTTGACAAACTGTCCATATAAAAAAATGAAAATCAAAGCCCTATTGGAAAACCCTAATTTGTGTGCAGCAAGAGAAGACGTGTTGCCCTTGCCCTAAACGAAGAACTGCAGTTGAGGCCAGGCGCCGCAATAATTATCAAAAATACCCTCTCTATAAAACCCCTGCGTCCATTTCCACTCTTCACACCCTCGAAACCCATTTCTTAGTTTGTATGGCCATTCCAATATCGCTGCTGGCAGACTTATATCTATATCTATCTATATATACCAAGGCTTCCCCTTGACGATATATACGTGAGGAAGTCATTTGTAGTGTCTTTTCTTTCTGTAAAACTCAGAATTGTTGATTTCTATCTTGCAGATCCCTTGAGTTGCGCTTTAATTCTCCGGCTCCTTAATTTGTCCATCTGAAGGTAATATATGGTTCCATGTTCTGGATGTGATCTCATCTCTTTCTCTACTCTATCCTTTCTCTTTTCACAATCTCGACTTTTTCTTTCATGGAAAGTAAAACTAGGGTTTTGATATAAGAGTTGGTGGATTTTTAAATGATTTATTATGATTATTGTTTCATCGATTTGGGGTTTTTTCAAGGAAAGTGAACTTAAGGTTTTGATTTCTTGGTTGATCTACTTTATAAATGATTCTCTCATTAAAAAATTTAGAATCGATAAGATGAGCATCAGATCTAATTATAAGAAAACCACATCCCATTATTTTTATGATTTTTCTTACATTTTATTTTCTTTAAGTTTTTTTTTGTTTTTGTTAAAATTAGATCTGATCTAAGCTGTGGTTTTTCTTTTTTGGAAAATTATATACTCAATCCTATAGGGATGTCTTGGTTTGTGTTTGAACGCAGCTTAGGAAGATCCAAAGCAAATTTACACCGGCTGCTCCTAGAATACAACTCGATCGAGGGCGATCAAATCAGGACCACGATGGAGCAGAAGGTGTATGTTCACAATGGATAAATGGTGCCATATCTATGATCAGGTATCAATGAAAAAAGCTTATATAAATAATGTTAATATATATATATATATATCGGTTCTTGGGTTATTAAATCTTGGGATTTGGAGTGGCAGTTATTTTGAAACAATTTAAAGTGATTTTTGAATGTTCTTCTTTTCAGTAACATCTAGGTAAATCAAGGTTAAAAAAATCCAAAAACCAAAAAAGATGGCTTATAAACGTCATGAGGGCTCCATATCTCATCTGACAGAGAAGGAGTTATCACCGTCAATTCCCCGTTTTTTCCATGTACTGAATGATGCTCATGTCTTACATGCACTGGTACTCTCTCATTCATGTTGAATTTTTGGACTTCTTATTCTTAACCTTTGGGAGAATGCTGCTTGTAATCACATTGTAATATGTAGTGTCTATTATTATGGGATGTAAACATAGTTTGGCGAACAATTATTGAACTTTAAGTAATTTACTACATTACACAACTATCCTCTCATCACCCCCACAAACTTGTTGGGTACTAAGTTTTATAGTTTTAGGATGTTTAGTAGCAAAATTGTTGATATGTGTAGATGAAATTCTTTTATAATTTCTGCAATTTTTATAAAGCATGCATCCTTGTAAAAAATTTAATATTTTTGCAGCGCTTGCCATCTTCATTTGCTCCAAAGGTGGAGCACTTGGTGGACCAAGAAATCCTCCTTGAGGATTTATGTGGGCAGATATGGCCTGTGACTCTATCATATGTTGACAATGCATTATCATTCGCATTGGGATGGGAAATATTTTATAGGGACCATGCTCTTGAGGGGGGATGTTCCTTGATATTTAACTATGTAGGAGAGAGGCACATGTCTGTTCAAATATATGATCCAAGTGGTTGCGAAAGAACTTGCTTCACCTATCCAGTGCGGCAACTGAACAATCAGAACTGCTATAATGTTGGGGTTGAGGAGATTTCTGAAATGGGATCAGCTCCTCGAACTGCAGCCATGGGGATGCCTCAAAGAAAGGGAGTCTCTATTTCCGATATCCATAATGGTGAGATAACTTCTACCTCCCTACTTATTTCCTCTAGTTTTCTAACGTTAACAATAGATTCAATGGTATTTTGTTTTCGTAAATATTGTCCTATTTCTTACATTTGTTTAGTTGCTTTAGTGAATAGGCTAGTGTTTATTTTCGTTTGTTCTCATGAGTAGCAGTGGTTGGTCTCTAAAATATGAATGTGCAAACAATCTATTAAGAGTTTGGTCTTGAAACATGAATATTGTAGCTATTTGCGTGTATGTTATTTTCCTTAACAGTTATAATCTGAAAATTATACCTTATGAAGTTGCATATGGGGTTTATTTTATGCCATGGTATCAATCAAAGCCAATTTTATATTAATCTTATAATTTGTTAGATACTATAAATGAGAAACGATATGGAAAAGGAAAAGGGAAAGAGAAAGAGCCAATCATAGGAAGGAAACTGATCCCTGCTAGCCCAAAGATGCCTCCCCCTGGAATACTTTTTGCTTTAGTTGTTTCCCTTATATTTGATCTTTGAAAGAATTTTAAATTCTTGCATTTGTAAATGAACGGAGTTGACATACTCTCTAGATATTTTTATTACTATGTGCTTTATGTCTTATTATCTTATTAGTTTTAACTACATTCGAGGAAAATAATATAAATTGCATGTCATATGGCTTTCAATATTTTTTTAGTTTAATATTCCATCTCAATGGTTTAGGGTTTGGGAAGCCGATGGGAGGTATTGCCAAGGAGAAAATGGGTGCCTCCGGGCAAGTAATCCTAACGAAGGTAGAACTTGTGCATGTAAAACAAGAAATTTGTTTGGAAGAGGAAATGGATGCAACCCCATCTGCAAATGCTAGCCACTCATCAAAGGACCCTATTAGCCCACCGCCCGTATAGTGTTTGCTTTCTTTATTTCACTATTAATTACATCCAATCTTTTGAAACATTCTAAATTCTTGCATTTGTAACGCAATAGAGTTGACACATTCAGATAGGAGCTCTATGGATCTATTCAACTGTAAGTCTTTCCCCTCCCAACCACCTGGATTTTAATATCGGTTCTGTGCTTAAAAACATGGTGTTGTGTGCATTTTTTTCTTAGAAGATGTGAGAGATTTGTGTTTTATTTGATCAAATGTGTGCTTGTTTATATGGGTTATGAATTGCTGGAATTGATCTATTTTGCTTTTTTGGCCATTGGGTTATGTTGTAATTAAATTTGAGTCCTACTGGTATTGATGTGTTTTATTGTTTTTTATTTGTTGGAATTGAGCCATGCTGCTTCCCATTTGTTGGTTTTGTTGTGTATTATTTCTCATTTCTTGGATATTGTTGGATTTATTTGAAGGCATAAAGTAGTATGGCTGGATTAATTATATTAATTTGAAGACATCCTAAATTGAAGTAAATTATCTATAAAATGAACACAACCCAATTTATTTATTTATTTTATTCATGTGAATTACATTGTTTGATCACCTAATCTATTTTTTGATGGTACAATTCTTTGTCAATATTATTCTTTTTCTCCATTTTAAAAACTATTGTATTTTAATGAGACAAATATACTCCTACGATTAAAAAAAGGTGGGTGTAATAGTATTTATGTAAAATAATTATAAACATAAGAGTATGTTTAATACGGAGTGTTGTCTACAATTACTAAAAAAAAAAGTTGTTACTTTATAATTGAACAATCAAAAATAAAAAGATATATATTTTTGTGAATAGACGGCGGGGGTGGAGTCTATAGATATGGCGTTCCTGCTACTTACGACTTAATGATCCTGTTTGAAAATAGGCCGCCATATATATATAATTTTTTTAAATAGGCTTTCGATGCTGAATTTGCCACCCAATGTCAGCGTCACATCCGTGATACCTGTGGATTTTTTTTCCATTCAAAATCAGAATTTTAACTTTGGTTAAAATTAGATCAAATTGTAAGAAAATTTACAATTTATCAGTCAATACTTTTAGAAATTGCTTTACCAGTCAAAATTGTAAAAGAAAAAATTATGGAAAAAAAAGAAGCAAAATAGAAAAAAATACTGTGGTTTACTGAATTTGCTTAAAACTCTTGTAGTACTAAAATTCCAATTTACTTACTTATAATTTCAAAAATGTTGTAAAAACACCCCTCCAAGCAATCAACGCAGCCACCAACCGGAAATTCCAATGCCTTCATCTCCCTGGTCGGTGAGGAAGCTGGCAGCGTCTTTATAAGACCTAGATTTCATCAAACCGCCGGATATGTTATTGGCATC